ATGGCAACATACGAGCGGCGCGTAACGCTAGATCCTTGTGTCCTAGTGATCGCGTAGCAGTGGGACGTCCTTCTCACCGCGCGCGCTTTACTCGCGCGGATTCGCCGATCTTTTTTCGTTAATTACTCAGTACTTATTATGAAAATTAAAAAATGGTAAAGGACTTTTCTACTCGATTTGACCTCCTCTACCTGTATATGACCGGTGGGGCGATTATTGCCAGACACCCTGTATAACCTCTTAAACTGACACATTAAACGCTTAAACGCTTAAACACTCCTGAGGCAGAGCTATCGGCGGCTCGGCTGCCAGCGGCCGGGCGGTAGTGGGGGAACAGAAGGCGTCGTCTCGGGAATCGGCTCGAAATGTTCAGCTAATTCCGAGCGCTGATCTTGACCTATCAGTGTTTTTTTTTCATTTATCTCTATCCAGTGTTGCGATATGGGACCGGTTGTATGCGCATGTGCGGCAATACGGCATCAGTACAGTGTCTCATACAAGTTAAACAAGGCACCGTTACCCCGCTACATTAAAAATATTTCTAAATTTTTTGAAATTGATTGAAATTTTCTACTTCTTGGTTTTTTAGCTGCTGGCTTCGTAGATTCCATGCTTGTAAATAAATAAATCTTACCTTATTTGTAGTCACCTAACCTTCTCATGTCAAAACGTCCCGCCATACGGTCAACACACACATATAACGGCACTGAATCTCCATCACCGCACATGCGCAGAGCCGCACATGCGCATACAACCGGTCCCATATCGCAACACTGTCTCTATCTATTCCCACTATGCGAAAGAAAAAGATAGAAATACTCAGAATGCTATGTCCTTCAAATTTTGACGCTGTCTGTTGCAGCAGGAACCGGTCTATTATATATGACTATGGTTATACGATTTTACCCGTTTTTCGATGGGTTATAGCGGGAGGCCAGCTGATTTCAGATATAATAGCGAATCCTTCTCGGAGACACTTGCACTATCGACAATCCAAGTTTTCAAGCTTTGGGAGAGAATAATTTTGGGCAAGATAACATCTGTCTACGTGTGGGGAATATAAGTGAATCTTGCGATTAAGCAAGCTATTGAGGTAAGCTCTTGTAACGAAATGGCTGTAAAAATCCAAAAAAAAATTTTTATTAGAGCGATATCGCGGTTCGTGTTTGTTCGTCGATTTTTTGGCTCATCGAAATTTTCTGAACAAAGTGTTTTGTTATATCTCTAGAAAGCGAAAATTCACTTTCTTCTTTATAGTCGTCACCCTTTGAAATCTTTGCTCTGAGCCTCTGAGCAGATTTTGTTTTTCTCATCCAGATATGGCGGTATTAGGTAATTTAAAGTATTAGGCAAGTATGTGTGCATTCGATATTTATTTTCGAAAAAGAAAGTTTCGGTTTCGAAGAATTTTTATTATCCTAGTCCCAGGATCTAATTTGAGATATTAGATGCATTCGGTTTCTATTAAAAAAAAATGTTTTGTTTTCTTTAGGATTTTTATTTTAATCCAGAGTTTAATTTCCGATATCTCTCTTTGGTTTTTGCAGACTATTCGTGAAAACGTTGCATAAAAAAGACTGTGCAAAACAAAAGTCGTAGCAAGTCGTAGTATTAGGTCATTAAGATTTATGAGTGAATAATAATTTAATGATGATGAAATATGCAAGATTTTATCTTGACGCACATGAGTGGTGCAAGATAAAATCATTTCTTATTTGAGCTGCTCAGAAGCCGAAATGACCAATTCCATTTTTTGCAATTTTTGCAATTTTAACACCAAAGTGCATTATTGCTGCTTCTTACAAATAAAATTAATTACCTTGATGATTCTTATCAATATAGATAATTTTTTTATTGCTAATGAATATAATTTACTTTAGACGCCGTTAATTCCATTGACAGTAATTTTTTTACTTCCAATAAATTTGATAATTCTTAAAATAGCAAAGAATAATAATTTTGACATACAAAATGATAAAGATAGTGTTTCTTCAATAATAATTGTTAATTCAAGGAAACGTTTTCGTATTTCTTTGGATTCGTCATTTGATTCAAACAAATAAACTTTTTAAAATTTTTTAAATATTTTCTAATTTGCTATATGTAATATTTTCTAATTTGCTATTTGCTGTTTTATATTACTTAAATTAATAGTTAATAAATAATAGTTGTAAAAATAAAATTCACCCGCGCGCGCGATAAACTAATCTTTGCTAAAAGGATATCAGAGTCTTTTTGACATATTTTTAATTTTCTACAGTAACATTTCCAATGACTAATTGTTCGAAGATGCTTTTAGATTAATTTCAATAAAAATTCTATTACAGTTTGGTCGTGGCACGAACAATCCTCGCCGTTTCGCAAAATGATACAGCAGGAAGCAGTGGTCCTAAGGAACGCCGTGAAATATTATGGAGCAGACAAGCTGGTGTTCACCGACCTGAATATGACAATATCTAAAGGCTCCATGTAAATAATTGTTTAAACAATGATTAAGCAATGTAAAAAATTTATCGTTTATCAACATGATTGAATTCTGTTTCAAATAAAGTTGTTAATTTAAATTTTTCAAAAAAAGCTCTGAAAAAGATGCTGTTTAACATTAAAAAAGCGTGTTGCAATCATCAAAGATGATGAAGATGATTATATTGATTCATAAACTTAGTACTTGCGATTTTTAAAAGTTATTTGACAAATACGATACATTTGTATACAACACACTTTTATATCAATTTAATTGCTTTATCCTTTGACTTGATAAAAACGATCTGTAAATTATAATCACGTACTTTCCTACAACATTCGATTGATTAACAATTGCTGCATTGGTTGTGTTACCACACACATTTATTCTAGAAATATAGTAAATTTACATCTCTTCAACATAATCTCCTACTATGTTTATGTAGGAGACGCGCCTCTGCACGTCAGAAACGGACGAAGCGGTAGAATAGTGTTGTCGAAGGACCGCTCTAAAGAGACGTTTTCTTGTGTAATAAATGCTTCTTGTGTAATCATAATTTTGCAAAATACTTTCTTATTCGTTTTTTTTCTATATATTTATTTTCTTATTACATCTGGTTTTTTAATGTATCAAACAGATATGGATTGCTGGGTCCCTCTGGATGCGGCAAAACCACGTTGTTGTCATGTATTGTGGGAGTTCGACGTCTCAACAGCGGCGAGGTTTGGGTTCTAGGAGGAAATCCAGGTAGCAAGGGTTCCGGAATACCCGGACCCCGAGTGGGTTACATGCCGCAACAGACCTCCTTGGTCGAAGAGTTTACCACGAGCGATGCCCTCTACTACTTCGGCAGAATCAATGGGCTCGAAAACGAAGAGATTGGTAAGATGAAAATCGCTTAGGAAAAATATCAAGATTATTGCGTAGCATTTTGCATCTTTTTTTTTTTAAACGATCTGCATGTTTTTGCATCTGTTGTGTTCGCGTAATGTAAATCATTTTGCGATAACTGCAATTTTTTCTTTCTAAGACACAAGACAGAGGTTTCTCTCGAAATTGCTCCAGCTACCCCCGGCAAATCGTCTGGTAAAAAATATGAGTGGCGGCCAGCAAAGGAGAGTTTCATTTGCTGTCACTTTGATCCACAAGCCCGAACTTTTAATTTTGGACGAACCCACTGTGGGGCTGGATCCAATTCTAAGGCAGAAGCAAGTAGATTTTGCTTTTTCTTTAAACGCAATAAACCAGAAAAGATAGGAAGAAAGTATTCGAATATACATTTTGGTTGCAGCATTTGGGACTACATGATAAGGCTCACGCAAGAGGAGAGCATTACGATATTAATCACGACGCACTATATCGAGGAAGCTAAAGATGCCAATAAAGTAAGTCTCATTTTAATTAAATCCCATTATTTTTATTAATAGCAGAATTGTAAAAAAAATATTTTATGCATTTGAAGAAACTATTCTTTTTACTCAATAATACATATCTTAATTTGATAGTAAAACTGTATTTTTTACGCATGCAGATCGGTTTGATAAGATGTGGTCGATTGTTGACGGAATCATCACCAGATCAATTATTGGACCAATTTCAATGCTCATCTTTGGAGGAGGCTTTCTTGACATTGAGTCGGACACAAGAAAATATGGCAGTTACGAGTATTACTGAGACTTATAAATCCATAGTAGAAAATACTGAAAGCGATGTTTTATGTCAAGATAAATGTAGACGAACAAAGGTAAATATACAACGATTTGCTATTCTTATTATTATATTATTATAAGATATGATACAAATCGATATCATTTTATTGTACAAACAAATCAGCTTGTTAAAGATGAAGCGGATTATAAAACGAATGCAAAATATAAGGTTTCACGATGGAAAAAATTCAACGCTTTAATGACGAAAAATATAATTCAATTTTTACGTTATTACTTGTAAGTATTCACTAATATTTTTACTAACGTTTTTGTAAAAAATATATTTAAAAAAGACTCCGATTGTTCTTATTCTGAGTTTTTCTATTTTTAATATATTTTTAATTATAATATTAAATTGTTACATATATAAAATATTTTTTTTTAATATTTCAACAATAAAATTTGCACAATTTTTTATAATAATAATTAATAATATGATATATTTTTTAGAGGGTTAGTTTTCATGATTATTTTTCCGATAATACAATTCAGTATATTTTTTGCCGCAATCGGTGGCAATCCGAAAAATTTGACGATTGCGATTGTCAATGATGAAGCTGGCAATTGCAATTATGGCAGTAACTTTCGTAACGTATGGTACAACGAAAAGGATTTCAACTGTTACTTTGCCAATCTTAGCTGTAAATTTTTGCACAGTTTTGACGATTCTCTCGTAAAAAAGGTACGATAATTTAAAAATTAATATTGTAATAAATATATATATTAGTAAAATTGGCATAAATATTATTTTAATACGTTTTTTAAATAAGAAAACGTTATTATTACTTATATTTCATTTTTAGAAATATTATAATGACTTTTCCGATGCAATGATTGGTGTGCGCAACGGAACTCATGTTGGTATAATGCACTTTAACCAAAATTTTTCTGAAGCTATGCAGACTCGAGTAGAATACTTTATTGATACTGAGGAAGCCGATATTCTTGCGAGTGAGATTAAAGTTAGCCTCGACATGAGTAGTATGTATATACATCATATAAAAATTTTATATCAAGTTTAAGAAATTTTGATTTCTTAAAGAAATTATTTTAAATAAAATATTAAAAGTTATATAAAAAAATTCAAAATAGTAAAAGATCCAAACCCTATTTCAAATTTTAAAAGTCTTGGTTAAGCATGCAATTTAATTAATGGTTCAACATTAACAGAGTAATAAATATTTAAATTTCCAATGGTATTTGTTACAGGTGTAGTAATCGGGTCTTATTTACAAAGAAAGCTATATGATAGTTTTGACGAATTTTTTAAAGATACCATGAAAATCTGTGGATTTTCACAAAAATTCGCCTCTTTGCCTATTCGAGTAAATTATTTTATTATGTTTGTCATAATTTATTACGTAAGATAAACAAAATCAGAAAATAAAATTTTGATTTATTTTAGTTTGAGGATCCGATTTATGGTGCGAAAGACACTACAAATGCATATAAACGCTTTATGACACCAAACATGATACTTATGTAAGTAATCTAGACTAAAAAATATATTTAGTTGTTTTTGCTATAGACCATTAATGCTTTTTCAGAATTGTCTTTTTTTTGGCCATCACACTCTCCACCGCCCTGATAATTACAGATCAATCAGGGGGTATGTGGAACCGGAGTCTGGTTCATGGTAATTTGACAAACAGTTCTTAAAATTATTTCGCTTTATTATTATTACTTTTTCATGTATTTCTCAGCATAATAATTACATAAATATAAATATATGATATAGGAGTTACCACTGCGGAAATCTTACTGACTCACGTTTTTACTCAGATTATCCTTGTATTTATTCAAGGCACCTTAACAATATGCTTTAGTTTTTTTGTATGGAATGTAGAATGTAAAGGATCAATATTCAACGTTATCTGCCTTGTATTTCTTTGTGGTTTTAGCGGACTAATGTTGGGTAAATATTTCACACAATATCTCAAAAAAGCTAGTAACAACAATTAAGAAATTGCCTATAATTAATTACTAATGTTAATATATTTTCAGGTTTCTTGATTTCTGTCGTGTGCACGAATCATACTGTAGCAAATTATATTGCAACTGGAAGTTTTATGCCGGTTGTACTGTTGGGCGGCAAGTCTTTTTTTTTTCTTTATTTAAAAAATAACACTTTATTTTAACTTAATATTGTCTAATATATTATTAGTAGCTATGAAAGCCGGAGCTGGGATTTATTGCTCAATTTTTCTTAACAGAAATTTATTAACATACATTTCGACCATCGGCTTTGACATGTATTGTCTTTCAATTATTAATAATATATTATTGAATAATAGAAGAGTCTATAATATAATTTTTAATTGATTGATTTAATATTATCTAATTAGTTATTTCTCAAACTTTAAAATTTTTATCTTATGTGACATTTCGCGCGTGTGTGTGTGTGTGTGTGTGTGTGTGCATAAGAGATGTCACATTTTAATCAAAACCACTCAACTATTATATAAATAATAAGGTTATGAAAAAATTAATATTTAACAAATATATTATACAGATTATTATCCATAAAACATTATAAGGAATTCAGTAATCCTTACGAGATGATATTGAAACCTGTTTTGCTATAATTACAACATATGTCAAGGTTTCTATTTATTATACATGCGCACACACACTTACATATGGAATTAAGTAAATGTCCCATTCATAGTTTTAAAAGTTTTTTTAGTTTTTTACGATCCAACTTTTATGTCAGGAATTCCGACTTATTAATTTGTGTTCTTAACCAAGTCAAGTCTTGATCTGGAATAAAATCATAGATCCATTTACAAAAGATAAATTTGATTCTCAATCTTCAAGTAATCTTACTATTAAAAAACTAGAACTTTCTTAATTTTTAAAAAATCTTAGTATTTACAAAATATTTGGATGATTTGATTAAATATTAGAGAACACGAAGTATTCTATATTATTTTAATTTTTAACTTTATTTTATTTTAAATTTTTTAATTTTTAATTTTAATATATATGAATATATACATGAGTCACTTTGTGTATATGTATATACCTACATTTATCAAACTTAATATAGTAACAAGATCTTTTTAATAAAGAATTGTTACTTTATATTCATTTAATTTTTACTCTAACTTATTCATATAATTAATTATATAATGAATAATATAAACTCTAATTAATTTATGGTAATAAATGACAGGTATGTGGCCGCTAGAAGGATCGCCAAAAGTAGTTCGCTGGATCAGCTATACTATGCCGACAACTTTGCCCGCAATATCTCTGAGAGCAGTGTTAGAGAAAGGTTTTTCCATATACGAGTTGGAAGTTTACAGCGGCGTACTAGTAGAATTAGCATGGATAATTGTACTGTTTATTGGTTGCTTAAGCGGCCTAAGATTCAGACCCTCGTAACATCACTTAAAAATTAGAAAAAATTTATTTGGAAAAAAAAGAAAAAAAAACAATAACGCCTTACCTGATTGGATATGGTTTTTAATGCTTTATAACACTATAATAAAACATTTTAAAAAATTAATTTTTTGAATTTTTTCCATCCTTTTAATTTTAATAAAAAATAAATAATAAATAATTTCAAAATCATTATAAGATATAAGGATTAGGCTCGTATGATAATATCAAATTAATATATACAGGGTGTCTGTCATAAGGTGTTTAACCGAAAAGATACAAGTAGATTCGTTATTCTGAACAAAAAAGTCCTATACAATTTTTCAAACAACCACGTAAAATTTTGAGTAATTAATTAAAAAAGATTGGCTAATAAGCGCGCGATCGGGCAGTGAGCTGA